GCACTCTCTCTCCTCCCTCCCTTCCGCTGAGAGCTCTCTGTCCCTCTCCCCTCGGTCTCCTTATGGCCACGTCTCTTCTGCTTTGCGTGCTTCTCTGCACAGTCTAGCTAAGGCTAGGACTTTGAAATTTGGCGGGAATTAATGTCATCAGTCGGGAGAACCAGAGCTGCGCATGCGCGGGACACCTACACTGCTGCGCGCTACCTTTGCAACCTTGACAGCCAATCAGAATAGGCGTCGGAGCCCAAGTTCCGAGAATGCACCCTTCTAGTCCGGGAGGCGGGCGCTTTGCAGGCTGTGGCGAGATGGGGAGGGAACAAGAAGGGGGCACGCACAGTCTTCGCGGCCAGGATCTCTGCGGGCCAATGGCAGAGGCCTAAGGTCTCTAGGCAGTAGGGTGTGGCATTGGCGGCTACCGCAAGTAGAGGCCGTCTAATGTCGGGCCAATCAGAGTGAGGAGGTGGGAGGAGAGTAGCCAATCAGTGTGCAGGATAGGCGAGGCTTGGGGCTGAGGAGTCTCGCGCGGACGCCGCGGGCTCCCCAGCTTCTGTCAGGGGAGTCTGGCGTGCGGAGGCGACTGAGGAGGCGGGAAGGCGGTAGTGGTTGAAAGGGAAGGGGCGATCGCTGATTTGCTGGGAGGAAGTCCGAGGGAGTGGGCGGTCATGGTGATGGCGGCGAAGAAGGGCCCGGGGCCCGGCGGCGGGGGCGGCGGGGGAAAGACGGAGGCGGAGGCGGCTTCGGAGGTGTGGTGTCGCCGGGTGCGGGAGTTGGGCGGCTGCAGCCAGGCCGGGAACCGCCACTGCTTTGAGTGCGCCCAGCGCGGCGTCACCTACGTGGACATCACCGTGGGCAGCTTCGTCTGCACCACCTGCTCCGGCCTCCTGTGAGTGGACTGGCGCAGGGGGAAGGGATGGCCGCGAAGGAGTGGCGGGGAGTCAGCGTGAAGGCCGGCGAAGGGACGGAGCCGAGGTGGGGGTGGCGGGGAGGCATGGGGACGCGCCGGATGTGGTGAGAGAGTCCGACTTCTGTGGTAGAGGTGTCAGGGGGAAAGGGAAGGGGCAGCCGAGGCCAGACACACGATTGGAGTCGCGGTGCAGGGGAAGGAAGGACACAGGCGAGGAAGGGAGAAACTCCCTACGGGAGGCAAGGAGAACCGAAAGTGGGGATGGATGGTTGAAGAGAACTGAGGGGAGGCGGTTCGAGATTTAAAAGGCTGGAGAATGACATAACCCTTGAAAGGGAACTTCATGTAGCCGGAGGACAAAAAGGAAAGAGTAGGGCAAACTGGGCTCAGGATGAAGGAGCACCTGTCTTCCTTCTGGCTTGTGGCCATCCTGGAGTGGGAGATGGAGAAACCGGGTTAAAATAGGCAAATTGACCCAGGTTGAGAGCACAGGGATAGTGGTAGGTAAGGGTCCAGTTCAAGTGTCCAGGTGCAGATGCTCATCTTGCAGGGCTTTGAAATGCCACCCAGAAGTCGGTATCTTACAGATCTAAGTGATGGGCTGATGGGCTGCCCTGTTAGAGAGCACAACTTTTCCAACGGTTTGTAGATCTGGATGGCCCATCCTTACGTGTAATAATTTACGTCTTTAAGCTCCTTGTTGCCATGGCTTGATCCTAGTAGTAACATCTTGCAACTCCTTCTAGACCGAGGGAGAGAGGAGAATGGTTGTATAAATCTGATTCGCTATCCTTGGCACTAGCACTGTATTTGGCCATGCCTGAGCTAATTTAGAACCACAGTTATAGCCCAGATTAATGGTTATATAGTAAGTTTTTGCCCTCCCCCCCCGCCCTTAGGGAATTGTTTGGTTAGATACATGATTAACATTTGATACCAAGCCTGTAGCTCTCTTTTTTATCAAGGGGTTTATTATTGCTGTTTTTTAGTATTGTTTTAATACATTAGTTTGTTTGGTTATTGGTTTCATTTTTAACAAGGAGGGCTGTCCTTGTTTCTTCTTACACCTTTAGGAGCCAAGGAGAGAGCAGTATTGCTCTTGCTTGACAGATGAGAAAACTGAAGCAAATAGAGGTTTAGTAATTTATCCAATGCCGTACGAGGCTTGCTGTTTTCAGCATTTGTTGTTTGATATTAGTTATGATCATGGCAGTTTAGAAATGAGGATCCAGGTCTTCTAAGATACAGTTTAGGATAACTTCTATATTCAGTTTTTACCGCCTTTGCCAAACTGCTATGTTCTGATCAATCTCACTTGGGTATTGTGAGGAAGGACTTGACTTTGGTCTAAGTAAAAGCCACTGTGGCTCTTAGGATAATCGTTTAGAATCCAAATAGAAATGTGTCAAAAGCTGTGGTAGAAATGAAAGTGAAGCAAAATGATAGAAACTAGAGATTAAGACAAGCACTCTGACGAGAGAAGGAGCAAAATTTAGAAATATTTATAGCATAAAGTAGAAAGAGCAGATTCCTGAAGACCTTGTTATGAAAAGGAAAATCTGAGTATATAGTCTGGAAAAAAGTAAAGAAAAGCAGAAGTTTAAAATTGATGATATTAGGTCCTAGGAAGAAAATGCCAAGAAACAGTGTTAATTCATTCTCATGGTTAGCTGTGATGGAATGAAAGGTAAAACCCTGAAAGTGCTGACATCGTTATCATAATTTTATAGATCTTGGTTTAAAGTATCCCACAGACAACATTTCTCTTTTATAATGAATATCCTTCAATCAGGACAGAAGGAGGGGCAAGGGATCTGGGACACATTAAAAACCTGGTTTTCTTTTGCTGGAAAAGTTAACTCCCTAAATATCAGTGCACAATTTGCAAAACTTGACCACTTTCTCCAGTGGTCATTATTGTTGATCCCATTAATGAAAAGTCAAATGACTGATCTAGAGAGACACTGGGTGGATGTGAGTATGGCATAAGGGTTGCTTAATAGAAAAGTACCCCAAGAGGCCTGGCTCTGTCTAAGGCAGGGGTGAGGCCTGTGCAGCCCTCAGGCCATATATAAGGCCCATGAAATAATTAGGTCTGATCCTGTCAAGGCATTAGAGGTTAATTAATTAAATGTTTGACCAAATATAGCAGGCTAATTTTTAAGCTGATAATTTTGTATGGCCCTTGAATGATGTTATAAATATCCAAATGGCCCTTGGCAGAAAAAGGGTTCCCCACCCCCTTGCTCTAAGGTGTATGTTCCTCAGACTAGGGCTTAGCTGTTTGTTTGTTTGTTTGTTTATTTATTTTTGAGGTCAGTCTCTATGTGGACTCCACTTTCCATCCTTGGTTATCAGGGTTCTCTACAGCTACTCTTCAGTTGACTCTTCAAGATGGTTTTTCTGTATTTTAGTTGTAACTCCCATTTGGTCCTGGGAACATGTCAGCTTCCACTTATTCTGGCCCCATTTTGGAATCTCTAGGGCTTAGCTTTTTAGGAACTTAAGTTCCAATGGGAACAAATGGTAGGAATCTACTAGCTCTTTTTTTGTTTTAGGGGTTTTTTTTTAGTTTTAAAATTTTCTAGAAAAGACTTTTTTGCCAAGTATTTTGGTAAAGCATTATGAATGATTCTTGAAGTGGTAGACTGTAGGGAACATATTTTGGTGATTGGGAAACGAGAAGCTAGGCCAACCCTATGTTAGCAGGAAGTCACAGTAGAGTGAAGGGTCAAAAAGGGGCTGGGTCACTAAATGAAACTGAACTGAAGGCATGTTGAGGTTATAAAGAAAGATATATCAGATGTAATTCTCTAAGAAAGCTTTAGTTTCCTTGACTGATTATCTGCGTGGGTTCCAGTGGTACTTCTCATTTGCTAATTGGAGTTCTAATTAGCATGGACTAGAGCAAGGCATATAAACTTTTAAAGGTGTCTTAACAGACTACTACCTATGCCCTCTGATGTGGGAAGGGCTGGGAGCTGGTGGTGGCCAGAGGCAGAATGTGTGAGATGGAGCATACTTATTGCATTCTGCAGAGTGAGGGATGGAGCACACACAATCCAGCAGGCAGTGGAGAGGCATGGCTCCACAGTGACACATACACAAGTTAACACCATAAATCCACGTGGTTGATTGCCCATAGATTAGGATTTTTGTGGTAGTGAAAATTGTGGTCGGCCAAAAATCTGCACATTCATTTATTCAATCCGTCAACGAATACTTATTGAGTGTCTATCAAGCCCCAGACACTGTTTTAGTTGTTGGAGATATGGTAATAAAATTGACAAAGTACCCATATTCATGTAGCTTACATCCTAGGAAAGGCCATGGACTGTAAATAAATAATTAAATATATAATTGCAGTAGTGCCTCCGATCTGTGAGGAGTAAATGTCTGTTGTTCAAAAAAAAATAAATAAATAAAAAAATAATTGCAGGTAGTGATAAATGTTAGGGAGTAAAATAAAGCTCAGCATGGGCCAGAGAGTGGTGGGAACTCATATTGATGTATGATGATAAACAGAGATGAAATATTCTTTGTTAAAATGAAGAGGAACCCTGGCCAGTGTCACTCAGTGGTTAGAGTGTTGGTCCACGCAATGAAGTGTTGAGGATTTGATTCCCAATCAAGGGTACATATCTGGGTTGCAGCTTTGATCTCCACCCTGGTCTCAGGGCAGTTGGGGAAGCAACCAATCAATGTGTCCCTTTCACATCGATGTTTCTCTCTCTCCCTCTTCTTCCCTTCCACTCGCTCTAAAAATCAGTGGAAAAAATATCCTCCGGTGAGGATTAACAACAACAAAAAGTGAAGAGGATATTGAGGGCAAAATTGAAGTACCATACTTAACACCATCTCCAGAGAAAGGAGACAGCAGAATTGGCTTGGTATTTTGAAAGACAGTTTTCTGTTGAGGGTGTTACAAATATGTTTACTTCTTAGAGCAGCGGTTCTCAACCTGTGGGTCAAGACCCCTTTGGGGGTCGAACGACCCTTTCACAGGGGTTGCCTAAGACCATCGAACATACATAATTACATAGTGTTTCTGTGATTAATCACTATGCTTTAATTATGTTCAATTTGTAACAATGAAATTGAGGGTCACCACAACATGAGGAACTGTATTAAAGGGTCGCGGCATTAGGAAGGTTGAGAACCACTGTCTTAGAGAGATGGAGTATTCTGGGGGCCGTGAGAAGAATAACCAGAGTTACAAGCTGGCTGAATTGGCTGATGTAGCAAGGTTGACTGTTCCAGCCCAAGTTGAATTTCCCAAGATCTGAAGAAGAATTCAGATTTTAATATTGGTGGGTGGGTGATGACTAAGCATTCATCTCTGCACATGTGAGCTCATTCTCACTATCTCTTTTTTAATGAGAAGTACTTTCTCAGCTGTAGCAAAAACCCACAGTGTTGGTGTGAGGGCCTGAGAGAGAGAGGCTGTTTCTGCTGTTTCTAAATTTACATACATACTACCACAATTGTAGGTCCCCAATTTTTTTTAAAATCTATTTTATTGATTTTCCACAGAGAGGAAGGGAGAGAGACAGAGAGTCAGAAACATCGATGAGAGAGAAACATCCATGAGCTGCCTCCTGCACACCCCCCACTGGGGATGTGCCCGCAACCCAGGTACATGCCCTTGACCGGAATCGAACCCGGGACCCTTCAGTCCGCAGGCCGACGCTCTATCCACTGAGCCAAACCGGTTTCGGCGTAGGTCCCAAATTTGACCTAGTTTTTATTCATTGGTTTTCTTCCAATGCCTAATTTCCTTAACTTGGTATAGATCTTTTTAATTTGCCCATGTTTGTATGGAAATAATACAATAATTAATAAAAATAAAGAGTAAGCTATATTCTAAATCTACTTTTGCCCCACCTTGTACAGGTACATGTGCTAGTTTATTTTTCTGACTCTTCTACCAAAGGATGAATCTGCTATTTGAAGCTAGGTTGGGGTAAAAATCGCTGTTAAAAAGGATTTCTAAAGCAGAGCCTTAGATGTTCTTCCTTGTTCTGGTTTGCTTGCTTGCCTCAATGAATAAACTCCTTTTCTGTAAGAAGAAAGCATGGTGAGGCCTAAAATGTCATTGACATCAGGGATGGGCACTACCTTTTTTTTTTTTTAATATATTTTATTGATTTTTTTACAGAGAGGAAGGAAGAGAGAGAGTTAGAAACATCGATGAGAGAGAAACATCAATCAGCCGCCTCCTGCACATCTCCCACTGGAGATGTGCCCGCAACCCAGGTACATGCCCTTGACCGGAATCTAACCTGGGACCTTTCAGTCTGCAGGCCGATGCTCTATCCACTGAGCCAAACCGGTTTCGGCGGCACTACCTTTGATACCCAGCTTTTCCAGCAAAGTATGTGACATGCTTCCCTGACATGACTGGGTCCATCGTTTAAGCCATTGTCCTTCAAGTCTCAGTGGATACTTGTCTTTTCTACTTCTTCACAACTTACTCTGATGATGGGATTGAGTCAGGATTAAGGTGGGCAGAGCTCTGGGTGGGTGTCAAGAGATGTGCTTGATTGCTCTATATTTGTGACAAGTTTTACCCTCTGTCACCTCCTGTCCGGTTTGTTAGTGGTGGCTCCTAGTTGAAGCACTTTTTATCTCCATGAAGGGAAAGGTGTGTGTTAATAATTCAGTACTTTTCCATCTGTCTGGGTTGGATAGACATGTACCTTGCCCTTATTTTAGTCCCATTCCTCCATCCCCTCCCACCTCACCTTTCATATTCTCCTCTGCTGGGCTGAGGTGGACAGAGTTTCACTAAGTTACAGACTTAAGCACTTTATCATATGAGGCCCTTGGACAACTTAAAAAACCCCTAAGAAAATAAGTTACCAAAGAAAAGAGAAGAAAGGAAAAAATTGTAAAAGGATTAGCATTGAGCCTGAAGAGGAAGGCAGCTGATAATATCAGGATTCTAGTGACTACAAGAGAGGACAGCTGTTATCATTGTCACTGAGGAACAACAACAGGAAATGGCTTGAAGCAGGGGAATTTAGATTAGGAAGAAGTTTCCTAAAATTAGTGAATTTGACCCTGGAACAGTGTAATAGGGATACTCCTTATTAGGGGCTCTTCTTGATGATGTTTGGTTTCAAGATAAGGATTAAACTGGTTAGCTAACCCCTGCTTAGGCTAAGAAATACAAACTGGGGTGTACAAATTTGAACACAAATATTCAGAGGTAAGGAATTCCCAAGTTCAGATTTGGCACAAATGAAAGCACTTGGGTGCTGGGTGGAACTGTTTTTTTCCATTGTTGACCTGGCAAAACCTTCTCATCTGAGCAGCTGAGCAGGTTTGAGGCTTTTATGAAGCAAGCTAGAAGCAAAATATGGGCCAGTTTGAGGGTGATGACCGCAGAGAAACGAAAGGTGTGGTATCTAGAAACATTCGGGTGCTTAATAGAGGGAGAGGAAAGAAAGGCTAAGAGAGAGAATTGGGCAGACTTTAGTATCTCTGCAAATTGCTTCACTTGCCAAGTAATTCAGAGTACTTTAAAGATTGAGTACTTAAAATGTTATTTAGGTTTATTTTGGGGAAAAGGAAACTGAAGTGGAAAAAGACTTTATGACTGGGCTCAAAGCTTGCATCCTAATAGTGTACTTGCTTTCAACTGGAAAAACTTGCACTATTCTGGGCAAATAAATTTATCTCTATATTTCTCCCAGCACCTCCTGGTTAGAAATAACAGAAGGGTACTTCCTTCTAGTTCTCACTTCTTTTGGGGAGAACCTGAGTTAATTTGGGGAGACTACATCCAAGTTGGAGAGTTGGGTCTGTTTAATTCTAGGTCAGTGACTCACATCTGACCCACTGGATGACCCTGGTATGTACCCAAGGGAAAGCAATACTCCTAGACAACTTAGTGTCATCTACTGGGAGGGGAGGGGCTCTTGTTTCTAAATTGCTTCTCTCAGCCAGCAATGGCCTCTATGATTCAGAAACAAATTCTGACTCATAGGCCATGGAACTAGTCCTTCTGGGCAGCAGAATGTTGTGTTACCTTACAGAGAACTCTCTCTGCCCCTATACTGTGGCTCTGGTTATAGTACATAAGCCAATCTACAAACATTAAGGTCAAAGCAATGGTTGTTATGCTTTGGAAACATCCTATTCCGTCAGATTCATTTGGCCCAACGAATCTAAATCAGTTTCTCTGCCTTCCCTTTATCCTGTCTCGTCCTTCCTCCCCCTCAAAAAAAACAAACACCTCTAGTTCAAGCTTAGCCATAGAAAGTTCTGTTGACCTGGCATGGCTCAGTGGTTGAGGGTCAACCTATGAACTAGGAGGTCACAGTTAGATTTCCCAGTCAGGGCATGGGGCAGGGCAACATGCCCAAGTTACAGGTTCAATCCCCAATGAGGGTGGGCAAAAGGCAGCTAATCAATGAATCTCTCTCATCATTGATGTTTCTATCTCTCCATCTTCCTATCTGAAATCAATCAAAAAAAATGTTTTTAAACAAAGTTTTTTTTTAATATATTTTATTGATTTTTTTACAGAGAGGAAGGGAGAAGGATAGAGAGTTAGAAACATCCATGAGAGAGAAACATCAATCAGCTGCCTCCTGCACACCCCCTACTGGGGATGTGCCCAAAACCAAGGTACATGCCCTTGACTGAAATCGAACCCTGGACCCTTGAGTCTGCAGGCCGACGCTCTATCCACTGAGCCAAACCGGTCAGGGCTTAAAGAAAGTTTTGTTGTTCTAAGCATCTCCTCTAGATTGATACATGGGTCAAGTCCCTTCCCCTCCCCCTATAAGAAAGCACACCTCCCTGTTTATACTTTGCTAACAGTTCCTGATTCTTCTTTCCGGAAATGTCAGTGACCTTTGTGTGATAGGCTTAGAATCTGTTTTTCAAGTGTAAACATAATATATTTTTACTTTTCCCCTGATACCATTTATCATCCTTCCTCCACTACTGCATCATCGTGCTAATTCTCCCTGATCCAGCTGTGTGCCTATATTACACCCTACTGCGTTGAGAAGTACTCTTGTCCAGGCTCCTTGGTTCCTTCCTATAAGCCAGCAGTCCAGCTATTGAGGACTGGGGTCTATAATTTTTGTATCCCTCAAAGTGCCTATCACAATGCCTTGTGTTTCGGCAAAGTAAATATTTGTTAGTGGGAGGTGAAGAAGAGGACCATGATCATCAGGTCAGAGAGGTCTGCTCTGGCTAGACCTCAGAAAGGTTTGGTATTCTGAGAGGGAAGGGACTAGTTGTTAAGGTGAGAAAGGGCAAGGGAAGGAATATAGAAGTAGGCTGTGTGGACTTCAAAACGAAACAAAACAAAACCATTAGTAAGAGAGGCTTCAGGAGAGAAAACTGGAATATCTCTGAAATGTGATCAGAAGAGAGTCTTCAGGGCAGATCAAGTTTAAGAGCTATTGTTTGACATGTAGTAACAAAGCCTGGCTTCTGGTTCTCCCTGCTATTATCTTTCCTCATTGATATTGCTTGTTTTTTAAAGGAGTATTTTCAGACTCTACTGAAAATCTAGCAGCAGAAGAATTGGAAGTGCCCTCAGTTGTAGCCTCCATTGTAGCCTCCAATGTCCTGTCCTTTGTTAGAATCCGCAATCAGAAATTTAGCATCCAAAAGGAGCCTGCCCTTTCCTGTTCACTCTGTACTGTGTCATCTGTCCTCCCTCCCTGCCCCCACCATCTTCACTTACACTAACCCAAACGCTGCCGTTCTTCCAGCCTCGGCAGGAGCACCTTTATTCTGTGTGTGCACCTGTAAGCGTGACTGTGTTGTCCCCACCTTTTTCTAGGATTTTCATTTGGTAAATTTTGTTATCTCTTCCTTCTCCCTTTGCTTTCCTGAGGGCATCAACCAGGACCCTATTCTAGAGTTACAGTGCTTTTATTTTCACATCTTGATCCACTCACTTTTTCCAGGAGAGTAAAAGTTTGAAGATTTCTCATCATTTGGACTGTCTTTCCTGAATGTGCCTGTGGTCTTTCATTCCTGATCCCAGGGTCTAGTTTATTTGTTTTGGTTTAGCCAGTTATGTTTTAATCTGATGAGGGTAGTAGGTCTAGACCAGAGTCAAGCTTAAGGCATAAGGAACCTGCTTGGCCTAGCCTCAAGTTTCCCATTACTGGAGGCAG